GTGCTTTGTAAAGAATATTAACATAAAAGATTGGATGTGAAATACCTGAACATATAAGACGTCTGCATGTTGATTTATATTTACGAATGATGTCCTTGTACCGATGATAAAAGGACAAGGTACTTTAAGGGCCGTATTTGGCCCCCTATTTTGTCACAAAATCATTTTCATGACATAAATGAACTGAGCATCGTAAAAGATTTTTATATATCTGTTCTTCAGTAGAACATGCGTATTTTATCTTTTAGTAAAACAGAAACCTGATTTTGGGTTGCTTAAAGTGCGTTAATTACGCCAAAAGATAGAAAAATGTTGATTTGTGGACTACAATTCTTCGTTTTAAAAGGCCTCCGCCAACCTGAGCAACAGTAAAACATAGTGATAAAGATGGCATACAAACGGGGTTTCCCGATTAAGAAAAGCAATTATTGGCTCACGTTGGCAGAGGCACTCAAAAATTTAAAATCTCTCCTAAAAAACAAACCTTTCATCGAAATAGTAGTATCGGATCGAAATCGGAGAACGGGCTGAAAATATCCGCATTCGGCTGTTACTGCAAGACACCCTAAAAAAAAGCGAGAATACTTCGATAGGTGAAGTTTTGAGTTCTAATATTTTGCCATCATTCTTCAAATTGTATTTTTTATCTTTTTATCAAGGTGGATTTGGTTTTATCGATTTAAATCAACACCTTTCATGGTGAAAACATATATGCACTTGGCACACACGATAAACTTTTCGTAACTGTCCCTCCGGTTGAGTCACCTCATAAAATAAAGCGACAAATAGTTTTAATAATTTGAAATTATTTTCTTTTTTGGGCAAGAAATACTCAGAATAATGTGCAAATTCGGGACAAGACACCCTGCGCCGAGTTGGTTGCAAACAACTTTGCGAAAGACCACAGCCGAAATGAACTAGTTTTGTTTAATATTAACGTGAGAACTTTTACAATGAGTAAACACGAAGTAAACAATTTGAGAGTTAGTTTGTCCCAGTCCCAGATTTCTTTTTCAAGTAGATAAATCGGAGAAAAGTTACAAATCTATGACATATACAGTAGGTGTAAATACATATTTTCCCCATTGCCTAGGGACGATGACAACGTAGTGTAGTGGTAACGCGTCCTCTATTGGATATCGCGTTTACGTTCGAATCTCTCGTAGACTATTTTTGTCCAATATATTTTTTCTGATACTATTTTAAAATATTTCAACGAGAAAGAATGGCAGAAGTAGTTTCTGGATTATAATAGCCACCAATTTAGCCTGAAGGACTTTCTTCAAGGTTCGAGTCTCATTTACTGATTTTTTTTGCCGTTCATTTCCGATGCTTCTGGGTGTTTTCTTTTTAACAAAAGCAGTAGAATAGAAGCTTTTTGAAAAAATAATACTTATTGATATAGATAGTATATAATTATACAGTTTCAAACGCACGCGAATTTTTAAGGATATAACTTGTGTCAATGGATAGCAGAAAAATGCTCTAACAAAATGATTCTTGTATTTTAAAAGTTGAAATGAAAAAAAATATTATAACATAATAAATAGGTAAAAAAAATCATGGACAACCTGATACGTATCATTTAATATAACATATATATTACTCGCAAACTCTTTTTCAATTTAAAACTTTACATTTAACCATGTTCCTGTCTTATTACAAGACTTAGTATGAAATTGACATCCTGCAAATGTAAACCATGGACACAACATAATGAAATGCATGGACATTATTGTGCCTGTTCTCGAATATGGTATAGTTATTTTGTTGTATATCATTAAAGACTTAATGAAAGACACGTCCTGATTCATCATGTGTTTATGATAGTATTCTCAGAGTTCATTTCGGCTCCGTATACATTCGACATCAGCAGCATGATTTTTGTATTCATAGATCACTTTTTATGCGACCGGAAAAATGTTTGCGTCCGTATTATCATGTTATTTCTTGACCAATGTCAATGGGGTTTATTTCAACGTCTTGAATTCTGTGAGTTCATTGATATGCTGCATCTAATCGTGTATTTATATTTTGGATTCTAGGCTTCGTTTTTAAATTGGTCCAAACCTGAGGTCCAAAGGTCAAAATTTATACTTTGTTTAATTTAATCAAACATTGAATTAAAGGGGTTATTTCATATGCCAAATCTAACCGTGGATCTAGATTTTTTTTTATTTTGGGCCCGTTTTCAAATTGGTCTACAATGAGGTCCAAAGGGTCCAAATTAAACTTTGTTTGATTTCAACAAAACATAAATACTTGGGGTTCTTTGATATGCTGAATCTTACTGTGTATAAAGATTTTTGATTTTGGAACCGGTTTTCAAATTGGTGCAAATCGGGGTCCAAAATTAAACTCTGTTTGATTTCAACAAAAACTGAATACATGGGAAACTTTGATCTGCATGTAACCGTTTATATAGATCTTAGATTTTGGGCCCTGTTTTCAAATTATTCCACATTGAGGTCCAACGGATCCAAAATTAAACTTTGTTTGATTTCATCAAAAAATGAATTCTTGGGGTTCGTTAATTTGCTGAATCTAAACAGATTTTTGATTTTTGACCCAGTTTTCAAGTTACTGTGATGTATCTTTAATAAATAAAACTTTGGTCACTTTGGAGATTATACATTTTGTGTGGTATTACTATATGGAATGTGGTTGATATATTATGCACTATGATAGGTATATCTAATTACCTTACATTTTAATATGGACATCCTGCAGTTTCGGTTCAGAAACTTAGCCTTGTCTGTTAGCAATTATTTTCACAGATTTTCACCAATGGAGTGTATGTTGTTGTCCATATCAGACTATATCTTATGATGATATTTACCCGTTGTTTGCGTAATATGTACTAAACCTAGTAAGCTATACATGATATATTTAGGGGAAGCTTTTTTCATCAAGTCGAACTTCTTACATAGAATGATTCTCATTGGTTCCACGAACATTTATAGAACATTGTGTAATTTTATATTATATTTGTCAAAGAAAACTGCCTGTTATTTCATTACGTTCATAGTTTATATAATTGTTGTTTGATCATAGAATAAAACAATAGTTCAAGTTACGAAGTCTGTTTTTTTAACGTAACTGTTATGGGGCAAGGATAAAGCTTATGATGTCATGATGAGGAGGTCCGCATGAAGGTCGGTATAATTTCGATTTTTGTTAAAATATTTTCGTCTGTCTGTCCGTTTGTTGTTTTTTTTTGGGGGGGGGGGGGGGGTGGGGGTGGGAGGGGGCTTGTTTCCTTTAAGTGAACACCTAGCTACTTCCATCCATAGTCGGATAGAGATAAATCTACAAAAGATCATTACCGTAGATGACAAAAGACCATCAGAAAAGTACAACATCAACGTAAATCATAGATGAAAAAGGTCATTGCTATGCAGTGGGTATGGTTGCTAGGTAGTTTCTTAGCATAAAACAAGCTAACAAAATAGATTTATATGGAAAACACGCTTTTCTGATAAATAAGGTTTAAAATAGCATGTTATTGGCAGGTTTCAAATATGTTGCTAGGCAACCAAAAATGATAATAACAAAAAAGAATTGTCATTTTTTAAAGCTTCTATACCTAGTCTATTAAAATGATAAAATTCAATTCATTTCAAGAGGGAGCCAAAAATGGCTTATTGTCCCTTGTCCTTTAGTAAATGTTTTGACTAGTTTGTGATATCGAAAACCCTGGTGTAATAATTTTTCAGTAATACAGAGATTTCTTTCATTAAAATCAAATACGTTATTTCATACACGAGCGAATCGAACCAGTTGAGATATATAAACACCATATAAACTTTACAAAATTATTGGACGTTAAGCAACCAACAATCAATTAATCAAAAATATGGTTGTTAACATTTTACATGATGTATCAAAATAGAATCAGTCATCAGATCCATGTATCGACATAGAAAAAGTCATCAAGGTTACTCCTGACGAGCGTGTTACATTGATTTTCGGTTACACAGTAAAGACGTGACTTCAAAATAACACTCAGAGGTCATTAGTTTAGTTGTATATTAGAACAGTATAGCACTAACGCTACCTCATAAAAAGTAATGCTTGAACAGGTGACACTTTTTAAGCAGCATTTTATATGTTATATCTGTGAATCAATTACAGACAATACAAACTCGTCCATCCGAAAAAAGAATATAGACTAATCATAACAGATAATTGCTGATCTTTAATAAGAATCAACGATCAATGAAGAAGAGCATAAAACAACATCGCTAAATGAAGAAAAGACGAACAATCAAGAAATAGCCCTACAAACAAAATAGTCATAATCTTTAACAAAACACAGATGGTACGACATTAACAGTTTTCTTTTTTAGAAATATAGATGTCCGAAGAAGCAGTTATTAATTCGAAAATGTAAACAACACAAACTCATTGTTTAACAGGTCTAGGAAATTATACTGTCTTGATATATCTGCAAGCAAGTTGATCGATAGATATTGAGAACTCTTCCAACTCATTGCTTGTGCAATATTGTTTTCTTTTCAAGACAAAACTTATGCATTGCTTTTTACTCTAACACATCGTGTTGCTCATGTAAGTACAAACCCGGTGAAAGGCTGATTCGGCAGGCCACATTCGAGGAAAAGATGGCGGGATTGTGATAACGACAATAGAAACATATCCGTTGTCTTCTGTCAAACAGAAATTTCATAACGGTTAGCCAACTCATGATGGCGTCCGTTAATATTTCGAAGGGATGAATTTATCTTTACCACGTGGAACTTTTCGTTTTAATAACTTATATGTGAGCAGCAACCCTCTATCAAGAAAATAATTATAGGAAATGCCAGCCACGGAATATCGTATCAGTTAGATAATATATTTTCAATATGCATTCGCAGCTTGAATGTTCCTACATAAAAAATGGAATATTCACAAGTTGGGAAGCGAGACATATTTGTCCAGCAACTGACCCTCAAAGTCAATTGCTAGATGTTAGTCAATATATGAGGCAGACAAAACTGTATCTGTTGCATTCTTTATTTCAAGTTCGAAGGAATGAATGCGTTCAACAAAGTCACTAAACTTTGAATTATTTAGTAAAAGTGCATCATCTATATAGCAGAAAGTGAAGTTTAATGATAATGCTAGCTTCAATTCATTCTTCTTCAATAACAACTGCATGCAATCATCCTCGGATAAACGAAGAAACATGTTGACAGGAAGAGGAGCACAGTTGGTTCCCAATGGGAATGCCTAGAGAAAGAATTGATTTTTTCATGATACTGCATATTTTTAAACTTTAAGTTAGTAATTGAACTTCAGTTTGCGGTATCCAATCATACGCATATAATATTTCATAGCCAAGATCACAATTGGAAATGAGTTGACTACATCTTTTGGTCACACTGGCTTCTGTGTTAAACTTGTAAACCACAGAATAAACAATTTGAATTGAAAATTATATTATAGCGTGTTTAAACTAAATTTGATATGCAGCATTAATGAAATTAACGACAATGAAAGATTGGAATTCTTTGTTATTGTGTAAGCATAAAGTATATAGCATAAACTTTAGACTCTCCTTCGATCGTAGCACTCGCCTACTATCACGTGTACATGCAACATTAAAATAATAACTTAACTGGAAATTTGTTAACAGAGTCAAATTAATCCAATAAAATAAGTCTCTTTACGGCAGGATTGTCGGTTGGATCTATATGTAATTCAGCAGATTGTAAGTACGCTTGTCGTGCGGTTTCATTTTCGCCTACAGTCTGTAAAGCAACACCAAGAAGATTATAGGCTGCAGCTTTTGCGTCCAAATCTGCATTTAAATAATTGCATTCTATAACATGTTGTAGAACCTGGAGGGTATCCCGACATTGTCTGGCATCATTTAAATTATAATGACAAAGGAAACAAAGGAAACAAGCATAAACTGAAGATGGAATTCTGAGCGGGTTATAATCCACTTCTATTAGTAGTTCATCTGGTATTAATAGAGAGTGTACTTCAAATCTTATATCATCTACAAGAACATATTTCCACAAATGAACAATACTCTTCTTCTGAAGTGATTTCAGTTTGAACAGTCGATGATGAATGTCCGACATTTTTATGTAAGGGTAGAGTTTTTCAAAGGTACATTTAGAAATACAATCCATTATAATTCGTACAGCTCTAGTATACTGTTTTGTTTTATAGAAGAACGAAGCTAACATTAGCCATCCAGATACAGCGTCATGATAGATATTCTTTAGCAGAGTACAAAGACATGATTTGCACTGTCGGTATTGGTATTTATTATTATTGTATGCGCTGTTAAGTGGAATAGACTGGGCACGCACTGCACTCATCATTGACATGTAATATGTATATACGTATTTTATTGAAGATTTTTTGCACGAAACTGTCTTTTGTATTTCTCTAATAAATGAAGAACTATGCAATATTTTGAAAACCCCTCGAAAAGAATTATTTGCCAATTGCAGTAAAGTGGAACTCGTTGATTTCTCTACATCATTTATATACAATAGGTTGCGTCCCATGTTGAAATACTGCATTGATGCAGAAAAAGTGGATACTTGATCTGAAAATAAAATGCATCGCCAACCATAATTATGCAATGTATATAGTTTTTCTAAAAGTATTTTACGAGCACGGCCCTCAATTTTATTCTCAAACATATTGTTTTCTGGAATGAAGTAATGCACACAAACTGAATACTCAACGCAATAAATCAATCTGTCAAAACATTGCATAAAACAAGGTATAAGATTGTCAGGTTTCCATGAGGATAGTAGTAGTTCTTCAGAGATCCAGAAAAGAATTGTTTTGAGGAAATAAGAGCAGAGCAGTTCTTTACATTCAGAGTCAGTAGCTATTACATCTTTCAAAAGAATTTTTATTAGAGCATAACAACATAGTTGGGTGTGAGTAAAGGTATGCACTAAAAATTTTTCACTGATTGAAAATGATATTCTCCATTCTAAATCCTCTTTTGTTGACCCCTTAGCCCCAATTGGTACAAAAAGGACACCGTGTTTGATGATACTTTGTTTGACATTATTGCTCGGCCATGAGTTGTTAGATCTCGTTATCCATTGTACTGCAGATGGTATCCACGATTTACAATGTAAGCATTCGGCAAAGTCATATAATCCATCTTTGTCAGATACACATGGTCCATGAATTGTATAGTCCATATTTTTGGTCAGGATGTCTTCTTTCCATAATGAGCTTGATAGATAATACTTATCAGCTAGTTGTACACAGTTGTAATAAGAAGTACATCTACTGTCTAGTCTCAACTGAGTAAATCCAGGTTTTACATTGTCTGTATCCATTAGCAGATATGCTGAATTTGGATTTAAACGGGGCTTTACATCATAAACCTTTAGATGTTTTACAACATACATAATATCTAAATCACTGCCTCGCATATCAAGTCCTTCCCCATAACTTCCACTTGTTATACTAATCTCATTATTGTGAATAGACAAATCATCCCTGACAGCGTTCATTAACCTGATTTGTTTTACATTATCTTCAGTTCCTACTATACTTTGACACATGTACCTATATAGTTCTGTTGATAAATTTTGTGTGATGTGGTCTGTAATCAGAACAAAAAAGTGATTATAAAAAACAAAAAATCTGTTAAAAAACTACATTAGAGTTAGTGCACACTGTATGTAAATGTTGATTATTTCGCTTGAAATGAAAATCCAATCGTCGTGTAACGTGTGACATGACTATCATCTAAATTAGAATTTGGGAACAGTGAAGATTTCGCGAAAAACAGGCATCTTTAAATGACTGTCTTATATTGCCGTAGTTGGGTTCGACATTTAGAATTTTTTTTATCTTTAATCTACGGTGGTATGTATGTTTGGGATATTAAATGTCAGAAAAGGATCAATTTCTTTGCATGATGTTTCAAAACTACAGAGGTGTGATATTAAAACTTAAAACGACAACTTATTAGGCAGAAAAGTGTATGTTAAGAACTTGACGAATATAATTGTCTGCAGTAACCTTAACATGACATATATATTTACCAATGCAAAGAAATAAAGAAACAAATCTACATGTAAACAACTGAAGCTTTTTTAGCAAATTAAAACAGAAAAGTAAACTGTCAGATTTTCAGTCTTTTTTTCATTTTTTCATTTTTTCTTGCCTTTCCGTCAACCAATTACTTAAACAATACAGCCCATTACACGCTCTAAGATTTATATGCAAAATAAACATTTATAGGAATGTAAATATAAATAAGAAGATGTGGTATGAGTGCCAATGAGACAACTATCCATTCAAGTCACAATGTGTAAAAAGTAAACAATTATAGATCAAAGTACGGCCTTCAACACGGAGCCTTGGCTCACACCGAACAGCAAGCTATAAAGGGCCCGTAAAAGACTAGTATGAAACAATTCAAACAGGAAAACCAACGGTCTAATCTATATAAAAAACGAGAAACACTTATCAACCAAACCAACAAACGACAACCACTGAACAACAGGCTCCTGACTTAGGACAGGTGCATACAAATGCAGCGGGTTTAAACAATTTAACAGGCACCAACCTTCACCCTAACCTGAAACAGTGGTATAACATTACAACATAAAAAGACCCACAATAAAATATCAATTGAAATGGCTTAACTCGATCAAAAAGACAATACACAAAAACAACTTCATATATGCTAAACGAATAAGTTTGATCTATGACACAATATAAATAAAAAAGATGTTTCAATGTCAAAAACACAACTTTTCATTGTTCTATAATACTATGAATATGTAGGTGTGTGATAATGCACCGTAGTAATTAAGTAAATCATTTCGTCAAAGTTGTTATATACCTGTGTTTGTATAATGAGATATAATCTATTGTTAACTGTTTATACAATGCCGTCCTCGTTTGCTGGAATGTAACCTACCAAATTAGATTAACTACCGAATTTGTACTTACATATTACGCAATTCGTCGGATGCAACATGTGGAGCAGGTTTTGCTTACTCTTCCAGAGCACCTGCTTTAACTCCCGGTTTTCGGCGGGGTTCGTGTTCCTCAGTTTTTAGTTTTCCATGTTGTGTTTTGTAAACTGTTGTTTGTCTTTTGACCAGTTTTCGTTTTTTTTTTGCCATGACATTGCCAATTTGTTTTCGAGATATTAGTTTAAATATCCCTTTGCCTTTCGTATCTTTCGCCTCTCTTTGATATTAATTGATATTTTTGCTTCTGTGACTTTTGTCAAATAATATCAATTTTGGCAGAATTTAAATGACAAACATAGTATTATAGAACAATGAACAGTTATATATTTGTCTAGAAATCATTTTTTTCAATATTACAAAAATGTCAGAATTATCGAAAATTATAAATTTCCTGTATCTATAGTTAAAGAAACTTGGAAAAGAAATCGCATTATCATAAATTAAGCCGTTAGTTTTCTCGTTTGAATTGTTTTACATTTGACATTTCGGGACCTTTTATAGCTGACTATGCGGTATGGGCTTTGCTCATTATTTAAGGCCGTACGGTGACCTATAGTTGTTAATTTCTGTGGCATTTGGTCTCTTGGGGAGAGTTGTCTCATTGGCAATCTTACCACATTTTCTTATTTTTATATTTCAGTTTTACATGTTCGTGTTCGCCATTGCTTGGTGAAAATTCATCTATGGACATGCGAATTTTGAAAAATGTCATGGTTAATTTATCGAACTGTGACCGATGAAATTAACATCTTTATCGGGCAAACTTGAATGAAACAATTATAGACTCGTAAAATTATTGAAAAGTGACTGGAATTAACAAGCTATACATTGTATAGAATTTCATACACATATCCAACTACGAGTAGACTTTTTGAGTGTTAGTAAAACAATAACTGACTTTTGTTATAATTGTTGATTTTGCGGTTTTCTGTGACGCCTTAAAAATTGAACCGTAACAGAATAGTTTTACTTGTAACCACCACGATCCGGTCGAATAATATGTTGTATATGTGAGTAAAATCACTAGCAGCATGCTTTAGATGTCTTATATCTTGAGATATCAGAATACTCTGTTCTTAATCAAATTGTGTTCTATTGCCAATATCATAATTTTGACTGAGTGTTCATTTACATCATACATGGCAGGTATTAAATGCATAGCAGTAGACGTTTTTCCTGCATCTTCTTAATTTATTGATCAGATACGCCCATGTAAATCTAATGTTTCTTATATATTGGAATCAAAAATGATGTAAAGGTTTAATTTGAAATTAAAACCGAATTAAGTACAAAACCAAAATCTCGTGAAATTTTTAAGAAATTGTAAACATGAGGTCTGTACAATATAGTTTGAGTTAGTATCTTATGAATATATTTAAGTTGGCCTCATAAATGATACATGTTAGACTTAGTCTGCAGTTAACCCTGGAAATGTCAATCATATTTGTAATCTCATTTCAAATTGATATATTCGAATTACTAGAAGAATTTCCGTTTTCAATACGACTGATTTTAAAATTTTATTTTTCTACTGTCTACGTATATATTCCGTTAAATTTCCATTTTCCATTTGAAAACACAACCAACGTCATCTAATAACATGGAAAACAAAACACAATTTTTAAGAAATATATATAAATGATGTATATACCAGACATATACAGTTTTATTCGTTTAGATTCATGTGCGAAATGGATGTTTCCGTAATTTATATATTCATTTTAACGTACCAATGACACCTACACAATCCTTTGTATTTTGCTTTAATGATATCTCAAGTAAAATAAATTGTGACAGAAGCTGGTGTTATTTATAACCTAAACTTTTTTTTTGTTATCATAGTTATTAGAAAGTCAACTATAAGATGTAATAAGACTTGAAAATTATTGAAAACGTAGTATTTTAAGCTACTGAAGAGTAGGATGCAGTTTTTTGGAGCCATATTGGTGCATCTAAACACCTGCACACAATGTACATAAAGTCATATTTAATTTAGGTGTTCAATTCATACATCTACTGTTCTAAAATACGAAACACTGTTGCTGTCATTTGTTTTATATTTGTATTAAACCATCACCTTTTTATCAATTTTCAGTTTTATTTTATTCATGAAGATTTCTAGAGCTTCGTACACAATTTGAAGGTCACATTCTTTCATTTTGTATAATTTTGAGAAAACAAAAACAGCAGTCTGTTACCTAGCAGGTCAATTTCTAATGTTAACCCCCGCAAACAAAACAAAATATCGCAAGATTGGTCAGTAAATTAAGGCGACAGTATTTAACCGATGTTCAAATCGCGTAAACCGATTGAGGGGAGACACTTCCCGGTAACACTCAAATACTGAGGGTATCGCATGAACTTCAAAAGGAGCAAGGCGGGGAGACATTGACAGGCCAAGCTTCTTCCGCAATGCATGCATCTCCTTCAATGCTAACCTACCCTCAGTAAAATCAAAATTTTAACAAAAATAACCTTATTTCTGTAATCAAGTTTTATTTCTTTAATGCAAATAAATTCGGAAATTAATATTTTTGACTGCACATGTAAGTATTTTGCATTTGAAAGATAGTAAACAATTAGTTAAAATTACTTTTGCTGCTTGGCTGATTAGAAAATATATTTAATATGGTATTTTAATTATATTTATATGTCAATAAACTGACATTATTTTTCTTCTGATATGTATATGCATCTTACGTTTTCCATTTAAAGTTGCTTCTTTGATTCTTATAGAAGTGGAAACAACAAATAACTCAGTTGCAAAAAATCGTGATAATGGAAGCTAACATAATATAGATTTTAACATAAACATTCTGATGGTGTACATGCAGTGGCGAATTATAGCTAGAAAAGGACTGGTGTCATAATTTATTGATGTTAAAATAGTTAATTCGTTGATATCAAATTATCTCCCATGGAATCTTATTGATAGTATAGTCTTTCTTCATAGTTCGTCCTTTGTGTGTGAAAACCTAAGACTCTTTACTTGTTTGAGACTATTGTTCTATAAGCACTTAAGGAGTGAAAGAAAAGTTATGACTATTGCTTACGTAAAGCATAACACGACAACATGCGCCCGTTTTTTTTACAGATATGATATTAAAATTTAATTTCTTTCAAGGAAAATATCTTTTTTTTTTATATAGAAATGTAGTTCATGCATTAAAAACAACCAGCAATTTATCAATAAACACGCATTTTATCATAATTTTGGCTGTTTGACATTTTACTTTAAAATAATCGTTTCAGTTGGTGCATTATTTCTTAATTAAGGAATAGTAGTGACCAATGACATTTCATATGACTATTTACAAATTGTCTAAGCAACTTCAATAGGTGTTTTAAAAAAGAAAATTATATAAATGTATCCAAATTAACATTTCAATAATGTTTATTCTGTAAGTTCTAGCAGGGAAAATTATTAAACATTATTTCTGTTTTTATTTTATTCTTTTTATTATTATTTTTCGATTTAATTTCCCCTTTTTAATGACTCTTTATCATTACTTGTTACAAAATAAACATAGTCATCAATCCTTCCGCATACACGGATATTGCAAAACACCTACACAATACTAAAGATTATTTTTATCAGAACTGACTAGTTTTCTT